TATCATTTGACTCCTTATAGGAGCTATGGATTTCCTATATATGATAATATATCTACGCACACAAGAGCCATACCCCCATTATACTGGTAAGCGTACCTTTACATAATGTCAATATGTCTCCCTTTAGTACATCAAAAGATACAAATCAAGCATACGGGTTTCTTATTCATCTCAAGATTAAGATTACCACATATAATTTGTCAAAGGTGAATTGTTTTATTCAAACAGAATTATTAATTAAAATAATTCAACTTTAGTCCGATCCAATATAAATTCAAATACTATGAACTATATTAATGTCTCTACCCAAGAAGTCCCACCTCCGACGACCAAGACAAGTCGTCTCCATTAAGAAGTAGACAACATAACAATCTTAACTTAAATAAAATGCAACTTTATTCCCTCGATTGCGGATCATATTCTTTAGACTATCATCTTTAGATTCCTGTCTTCTGCATGTTCTTCTCATTACATGCACAATCTAAAGACTAAGAATGACAATTTCAAACTTTCAGTTTGCTTATCATACATTCAACTAATATAAACGTTAAGAGGACATAATATAGATATATGAAATAAATAAATTCTTATTAATAGTCAAAATGTCTCAAAAACATTGGTACATTTATTCATAAGGGCATAAATGCTAACACTGTCCCACTTGCACTTAAATGAGTAAATGTGACATGCTATGCATCCCCATAGCCTCGACATGTTTCTTAAAACCCTTCGACCAGTAAGGTTTTCGTGAACATGTCAGCTATATTGTCCTCTAATGTGACCTTGCATGTTCCACATTAAGTCCTTCTTTAACAAAGTTCCTCATCACATGATACTTCATGTCTATATGCTTACTCATATTTTGATATCTTAGTTCTTTGGTATTAGCTATTACCACGTTGTTATTGTTGGAAAATTAATGGCATCGAGTGCACAGCGGAATTTAAAAATTTTAATCAACGTCAAAGCCAAACAAGAACATGTTCATGATGCTATATAACATAAATACTAAAGATCTAAAACATACCTTTTGAGATTTCAGGAAACTGCACGTCTGACAAATCTAAGCGTTCCAAACAGCAACCGGAAGAGCCTCAACCAACTGGTCTTCTTTGCTATTCTCGTTTCCACGATCGGTGTGCGGGTGGGCACACGTCGTTTAATCTCCTCTAGGTATTCTTGATCTCCTTCCAATCACAAGAGAGCCAAAGAAAAAATTGTTCTTGAGAATTAAACAATTTTTCCTCTCAAGAATCTTTTATCAATAGCCTCCAAAAAGTCTCTCAAGTGATATGATGAGTAATGTGACTTAATAGGCTATTTATAGTATTTTGGAAGTCATACTTCCGTAACAATTAGGTTTTCCAAAGTTCTAATCGCATCCAGAGTCGATTTTCCCACGTCAGCATGCATTTTATGTTACAACCGGTCGACCGGTAACAGAGACGTTATAACTCCCCGGTCGCCCTGTCTTTACTAACCGGTCGACCTGTGACCGGTCTACCCAACCGGTCGACTTGTCTGCACTGACGAAAGTTATTTTTCCTAGTTTTTCAATACGGGAAACTTGCATAGAGCCTCAGTTTTGATTCAAACAACCCAATAGAGAAATTGCCTGATCAAAACAGTCATCTAATAGTCTTCCCATATTAAACAACTCTTAAAACAATAATTCAACCAATTTATCTAGAATTAATTTATCAATTAATTCACCCATGAATTAACTTTGAACCTCTCGTTACGGAAATAACACAAGTTACCAATGTGTAGGAAATACACCGTATCGTTACAGAAAATTATGTGAGCTAGCAAAGGGACCCGATGGACATATATAAATCAAGCTCCTATAATCACAACGCTACTTGTAAACCAACAAGTCCGTCTCATGATTATAAAACTCTAGCGCTATTCCACTAAAAGCCTAGAGCTGCACTCTTGATTTATATAGCGTATTCACAAAGCTCTGATTAGCTCTAGTCCATGACTTAATATATTAGTATATCATCCCCATAGGATATCCATAATCGACTTGAGGTCAAGTTCCGTTTTACCTTCCCGATTACATTTATCTTATGTTCCATTATCATACCATCAGAAAAATACTATTCGCATCATTACAAACAGTAAACCATTAGATAACACAGAGTAGTCCAATGGCTGAGCGCTCATATTTTCCAATCCACTGATGATGCATAAGAGGATATCATTAACTCTTTATAGGAGCTATGGATTCCACTATCTATGAATAACGAATCTACGCATACACGAGTCATACCCCCAATGTACCGGCAAGCGTACCTTTACATAATGTCAGGATGTCTCCCTTTAGTACATCAAAGGATACAAGTCAAGTATACAGGTTCATCATCCATCTCAGGATTAAGATGACAACATATAATTCGTCAAAAGTGAATTGTTTTATTCAAACAGAATTATTAATTAAAACAATTCAACTTTGGTCCGATCCAATATAGACTTCACAATTAGAAACTATATCAATGTCTCCACCCATGGAGTCCCATCTCCGAAGACCAAGACAAGCTGTCTCCGTTAGGAAGTAGACAACATAACAATCTTAACATGAATAAAGCGTCCAACTTTATTCCCTTGATTGTGGATCAGAAGATTTAGACTATCATCTTTAGATTCTTGTCTTCCGCATGTTCTTCACATTACATGCATGACCTAAAGATTTAGAATGACAGTCTCAGATTTTCAGTTTGCTTATCATACATTCAACTATTATGAACATAAAGAGGACAATACATAGATATATGAAATAAACAAATCTTTATTAATAGTCAAAATGTCTCAAAGAATATTGTTACATTTATTTCTAAGGGCATAAACGCTAACAGTTATCACAGTACAGTCTCAATAACTTATCCACACCAAAAACTACCTAAAGATCCATCAGAAGCATGTGGGACTCCATGTTAAGATTGTTATGTTTTCTACTTCCTAACGGAGACGATTTATCTTGGTCATCGGAGGTAGGACTCTTTGGGTAGAGATATTGATATAGTTCATAGTGGTTGAATCTAGATTGGATCGGACTAAAATTGAATTGTTTTAATTAATAATTCTGTTTGAATAAAACAATTCATTTTTGACAAATTATATATGGTCATCTTAATCCTGAGATGAATAATGAACCCATATGTTTGACTTGTATCGTTTGATGTACCAAACAAAGACATCTTGACATTATTTAAAAGTACGATTACCGGTATGTTGGGGGTATGACTCTTGTGTGTGTAGATTTATTAATTATAAATAGGGAATCTATAACTTCTATAAAGAGTCAATAATATCCTCTTATGACATTATCTATTGATTATAAAATATGAACGCTTAATCATTAGTCTACTTTATATTATCTAATGGTTTACTATTTATATTTGTATGAATAGTTGATATTCCGATAGAGTGATAATGAAACGTAAGATAAATATAATCGGAAAAGTACAATAGAATTTTGTCTCAAATCAATTATGGATATCCCGGTGTCTTCCAAAGACACTTTTGTAACACCCCAATTTCTACTTAACGGTAAATAAGGGAGTTAACGTTAGAATTGACAGTAATGATATCATGACAGTTATTACTAACGTGTTATTTAGTGATTTTACAGTTGACACTTACGAAAGACTTGATGCGTTATGAAAGGTTCGTGCGAATAATGTGATGAAAAAATAATATCAGTGTAGGTTTATAGGTTATGTGATTTATCTTTTAATATATATATATATATATATATATATGAGTTATATGATATAAAAGGGAGGCCACTACATCTAAATATGTATATTATTATATTATATAATGTTGCGTGTTTATATATATGTATATATTTATTTATATGTAATATACTTTTTATTTAACGTATTGTCATATATGATATTTAATATATTTTGTGCCGTTTTAAAGGAAGAATTGAAAGATAACGACCCGTTCAGTTCGCTGATTCGAGTTTTTAATTTGAGTTGAGATGTGACTTTATGTGAGAGCTTTTTACTGTGACAAAAAAGTTTGATGTGACTGATTCTGAGAGCTTTTTACTGTAGTAAAACTTGAATTCTAAACTCAAATCGGTGAAATAAATGGGCCCGTAATTACCGTGATACTAAAAGAAGAAGAAGAAAAAAAAAAGTAACAGACCACTCTATCTCCTAGACTTAGGTTTCCCCTGGATATACATATTATCAAAGCACTCAGCCATCAGTGAAAGAAATTAAAAAAAAAAAAATTCTCCACGTTTCTCCCACACGGCCATTAGTGAATTGGGTCTTTACATTCCTTTTTTTTTTCTTCGTTTGGCATAGAATGACCTTGTATACTCACAAACCCTTGTATACTCACAAACCCTAAATCTCTAAAACACTATTTGATTCGCTGGTTCAAATTTCGTTGATTAGAATGACCTTGTATACTTATAAACCTTAAATTTCTAAAATCCCGTTTAGTTTTCTGGATCGAATTTCATTGATTTGAACTTTTTTGTTTGAACAAAAAAATTTGAACTGTATGGTTTAAATTGTAATTCGAATTTACTTTTGAATGTGCAGTTAAAATTTTAATCTAAACGTGAAATAATATTTAAATTAGTGTTTAGTAGGTTTAAAAAATAAATAGAGTGGGCACTTTTTTATTATTTAAAAACAGTTTGAACAGTTAAATTTAAGGTGAGAACTAAATTTTAAGTTAAACAATTTAATTTAATTCAAATGAAAAATATGATTCAGACCGCGTGCTTATCAAACACGAATTAAAACTATGTTCATTGTTCGAATTGAAAATAACCCAATTCATGCTCACAAGTGGGGCCCTATAGAAAATATTTGACTTTTATGCGCTTGTATATTAGAAACCCTTGGGGGGTCACACAAAAAAAAAAAAAACCTTGGGGGTTTTCCTGTAATATTAATTTCCACCATCTAGCTATAAATATATATATATATATATATATATTTCCATCTTTTTATTAGGTTCCCTTAAGTTTCAACAGAAGTCTGTTGCTGCGATTTGTGCTGTTTGTGTGCTGAAGGAGGGTCATGGACATTGCTCTCTTCTCTCCCTCTTCGCTTTTCTCTGAGGACGACGACATCCCTTCCACTGGTACTCTGAGCCTCTCTCTCTCTCTCTTCGGTTTCTGGGTAAATGACTTATTTATATGAAGATTGGGTCATTTTTGCAGGTGAAGAAAAGGTGGAGACCCAGCAAAGCTATGTACAGAGGAAACACGTCTTTCCTGGGATGGTATTTACTTGATTAGTATTATTAGTTCCCGTTAAAGTTTTTTTTTTAATTCTCCATTTTTTTTCTCTTTTTTTTTTGTGATAATAATTAACCTGAATGATTTTAACGCTTACTTAGATTTCAATGCTTTATTGTGGATGATTAATGGTAAAATGTTTGGAAATGTAAAAAAAAAAAAAAGGAAAATTATGTTTCTTTTAGCCTTTAACAAGTAGTATAATGAGTATAAGATGGAAAAGTGGAAGGAAGGAAGTAGGTAGAGGGATTAGTGGATGAAAAATGATAGAGTTAGTTGTTTGGTAAGAAGGAAGAGAGGAGAAAAAGGAAAATAAGATTGAAAAAAATTATGGTGGGGTTATTATTTTTTATCTCTCTAACATTGGAAGGAAAACTCAAATCCACTCATTGATGGTTAAATTTACTTTTGTGTTTCTATTTTAAAATCTAAATTAATATTAAACAATTAATAAAATGGTCATTTAGACTATTACATGTTTTTTTTCCTCTCATTATAACAAACACTATAAAGGAAAATCAACTTCATTCTTTTCCTTCACATTTTCATTCTTTTATGTGTCTTTTTCCGTTCTCTTTTCTTTTCCTCCTACCAAACGGAGTGTAAGTATGGTGTTTGTTGTTAAGTTATAGAGAGTTTCTCTTTTAGGACCAGAAAAAATAACTGTCGATAGTTTTCTATTTTATAGCCATTAGAGGGTATTAGAACCTGTCTATTCTACATAATGCTAGCGGCACTTACTCGATCACTCTGTTTATCACTCTCTGCATGCACTATTTGACACGTGGACTCTACTAACATGATATATTATTATTTAAACAGAAAATAAGATAGTAGAGTACACATGTTAAATAATTAATACAGAGAGTGACATAGAGAGTGTCGCTAGCATTTCTCCAGATCTTAATCTGATGTGATTTTAACAAGATTCAACAGTCAGAAACTGATACTACCGATAGGCCTCCACCGGATAAAGTCCCTCAGTTATAATCTTCATTTTCGTTATTGTAACTTTTTTCGGTGGCCGGAAGTAGACGTAGCTTTTGGGCGACTAATATAAATTTTGCATGTTTCTTGTTTGTTTCCTTTTCTTCTGCAATTTCTGCTGCTCTCGGTAGTATAGAATCGGTACAATTCCAAACATTTATGCTGGCAAGAGTAAACAAATTGTTGAGAATATTTGGTATAAGATTTGGTGGTTCTTGTTGAGAAAGGACTCTCACATTAATGTTTTTGGGAATTAAATTGCTTGTATCCATTTACTAAAATCTTATGCATATTAAAATATAGGGGAAAGCTCTCTTGCAGGGAGCAGTAACTAAGAAGAATCTTTAAAGTAAGAACTTGTTTCCTTCCTTCACTAGACATCTTAATCAAGAACTTGTTTCCTTCCTTCACTAGACATCTTAATCATCTTCAACTGCATTATTTTCCCTTGAGGTGAACGTAGCCTTAGGTATTTTTACATTTAGTCTTTCTTTCTAGTCATGTTACTAAAGCTTGTTAACTAGGTTTGGTACTCAAGCTTTTATGTGTTTACACTAATAAACGACCATTGGCCTTGTTTGCAGGAGTTGATCATCCGAGAATTTTCGTTTCATCGACTGAATGCTAATTTACTCTGGCCTGGCACGTTTGCATTTGCAGAATGGTTAGTTGAACATCAGTCCTGGATACAAGGGCGGCGTTGCATTGAACTCGGCAGGTATATCCCAGGAGAGTGCTCATCCACTATTGACAAAATATAGGCAGCCTTTGGCAATTACAGTTTTTATAACTAGTGTTTGGAATCCTAACTAAATAGTTCCTATACTTCTTTAAAATTGGTTTCTTTTATTCTTCTAGTAATTTGTGTTCAACCCTTTTGTGTTGTTTGTTCAATACTCTGTGTTTACTGTCTAGAATATTTTGGCACTGAGCATTTTACCAAATAGTTATGGATATTCCTAAGGGGTCAACTTCCTTGAATAATTATGTTTCTTTTTCATGCATGACTTTTTCCTGAAGGACAATTCTTTTTATTTTTTTTAATGCATAAAATCTTTGTTGCTGTGACAGTGTGGCTTGAGTTATAGATATTTGTATGCCTTTCACAATTATGGACCAAATGTTTTACACCCATGAACCTAGCCAATAGTTTTATTTGAATCTAATTGAAATTCTTTAACAAGATTATCATTTCCTCAGTACATAAGTTGGCATTGATGATTTTCTAGTTTGATGCAGATGTTGATGTTTGTTTTAATTTGCAGCGGCACTGGTGCTTTGGCAATTTTTCTTCGAAAAGCATTTTGTCTTGACATCACAACTTCGGACTACGCTGATCAGGAAATTGAAGATAACATTGCTCATAACTGTAGGGAAAATGGAATAACACAAGTTCTTCCTCATGTAAAACGTGAGTCTCTCTTTTCTTTTCCTAGCTTTGTCATCTGACTTGCACTTACTACCTATCATGGAAAATATTCACGAAATCACCTTTATTGGCCATTGTTGCGTGATACGGTTGTGAGAAAAATCTGTATAATGTAGGTGATATGTGTAATCCTTGATTTTTAGGAATTAGTTGAGCTATATATTCTAATTGGGTAATTTCCTTATTTGTAGGATGGTTAATTCATGACTTGGCTCTTTAGCCTTGTACTATAAATATGTGTATACTAGATTATATGAATTAATAAAGTTTTTTCCCATTTACCATTCATGACATGGTGTCAGAGCCTTGATAGAACCTTGACAGATATACTAATAGAAAGTAGAACAGAATTTGATAGACAAGAAGGAGGAAGAATCTGTATAGACAATTGCTGAAAGTTACAACGAATTGCGGAACTTCGAGGGTCCGTGGCCTCCCCTACTTGGAAATGTTTCCAAGATTTTCCCTTGTACAATTACGAAAACCTTTCCTACCTCTAACCGTGTCCTCCTCCTTTTATTCTCATCCCTAAACTTTCTTAACAAGCTAACTAGGCTAACTAACAATCTTTCATAACAAGCTTCATAACAAACTAACCAACAATCTTATTCAACAAGCTAACTAACATTCTTGCTTAACAAACTTCTAACTCCTCTTAAGTCTTCTTACTCTTCCTAATGTAAATTTGCCTGAGTAAGGGCTTGTCAAGCCCTAGGCTCTTTTTTGGGTTATTCATTTTCTCAGCCTTATTGCTGATTTGCAGGTCAAGCGTTCCTTTTCTCAGTTTTTGTTGCTGCCTGCTTGAGTCCTTGCCTTATCACCTTATTCTTGCTAATCCTGGTTTCGTGATATCAATCCTTTGTTTCCTCCTGTTAAAGTATAAAATTATTGTTGGCCCACCTCCTAATAGCTTAAGCTTTTGGGATGGATTGGTAAACTAATATGATATCAGAACGGGAGGTCCTGAGTTCAAACCCCCGTAATTGCACACTTTATCCCTATTTAAATTGTCATCATGTGTTGGGTCTTTAATATATTTCGGACTTAAATATTCACTTGGTAAACTAACACGTCCCATAATCACCCTTAAGATCGTGACTCTTTTTACCCAAGAATCATGTCCGATTTGTCTGCAACCAGCAACGCAGCAGAAGTTTTTGCAACTTCTCTGGCCGTGAGCAACAACAACTCTTCAACAGGGGATTTGCAGAACATTCATGCAACGTATAAATTGAACGGAAAAATTTAATTGGATGTTGGAAATATGTTATAAAAGATGTACATTAGCTGTAAGATTGTATCCCTATAATTGGGATAGCCGTTTTGAAAATCCTCTATGTCAAGGGATCTTATATAGGAATTGATATAGGACCTAATCTAATTTGTTACCTTTTATAGTCTAGAACGTCTCTGCATATATTGAGATTGTATTGTACCAATTTTAATCAATGAAATTCATTCTCTGATTTCCCATATGGTATTAGAGATTTAGGGCCTTTTCTTTTTTTCTTGGTGTCTTTCGTTCTTGTGGCCTTCATTGCCGACGTTGGAACTATTTTGACCTTCATGTCAGAATTCTTTTCTTCTTGCACCACAGATTGCTTTTTACAGCCTTTTATTACCCGAATTACAGATGTAAATCCATCTCTTTCTAGTTATTATTCCCTCTTAAGAACCATGTCATCCTCTGAAATCACTGCTTCCAATGTCCCTGTCCAATCCAAAGAGGTTAACTCCAATCAAACAACAGGTGACTTGCAGAGTGTCCGGGCGAATTACAAGGGAAAATTATTTGAAGTGGTCCCTAGTTGTTTGGACCTACTTGAAGGGCAAGGGCAAGCTCGGCCATCTTCTAGGAACAGGACCAAAGCGAGAAGATGAAGCGGATTCTATGATCATGGCATGGCTATGCGATTCAATGAATCTTGAAATTAGTGATATCTGCATGTTTTTGACCTCTGCAAAGGCAATTTGGGATGCAATGCGACGGACCCACTCAAAAGCTTGTGATGCAGCCCAAGTATACGAAATCAAAGTAAAAATGGGTGCAACCAAACAAGGGAGCAAATCTGTGAGGGAGCAAATCTGTGACTGAGTATGCGAATTTACTGCAAAATTTGTGACAGGAACTTGACCATTATCGGGTCATTGAGATGAAATGTCCAAAAGATGCCGCAACCTTGAAAAGCTTCATTGAGAAGGACCGAGTATATGATCATCTCGCTGGACTCAATCCTAAATTTGCTCAGTTAAGGGTTCAAATTCTCGGCAAGGAGGAAACACCATCACTGGAGGAAACTATTTCTCTAATTTGAGCAGAAGAAAGCCAAAGAGGTGTAATGCTTGAACCGCAAAATGTGGAAGGCTCGGTTATGTTGTCCAATGGAGGGAACAATCGAGGTTCAAAACATGAGCATCAACCAGCCACTGAAATTGGAAGAGCATAGTTGTCCAAAGTAACAAGTACTAACAATCGAGACAACTTTCAAGATCGAGAAAATGCTCGTGACAAGCTGTGGTGCACATACTGCAAAAAAACCAAGGCATACCAAGGAAAAATGTTGGAAATTGCATGGAAAACCAACTACATCGAGTAAAGAATGAGGGTTCAATCAAATTTTATCTCCATATTTTCAACATAAGGGGATTATTCATGAGTCTTATGTCAACACTCCAACAAAATGGAGTAGTAGAATGGAAAAATGGTCACTTGCCACAACCCGAGCATTCTTGTTCTAGGAAATGTGCGTAAGAGTTATGGGGGAAAGCCATTCTTATAGCCACACACCTCATAAACAGGTTATACCTTCCAGAGTGCTAAATTTCAAAAGTCCTGTGGACATACTCTCACAATTTTACCCAGATTTTAGCACGTCAAATAATCTTGTTCCCAAAATATTTGGTTGTGTTGCATTTTTCCATATTCATAGTCACAATAGAGGGAAGTTGGACCCAAGAGCTATAAAATGTGTCTTTTTCGGATATTCCTCAACCCAAAAAGGATATAAGTGCTTCCATCCTCCCACCACAAAATTTTATGTCTCTGTAGATGTTACTTTTGATGAAAATGTGTCCTACTTTTCTAAACCTTATCTTTAGGGGGAGACTACATTTGAGGAAGCTAAGGGGGTTTACTTTGAAGTATAAAGCAGATGGCACACTCGAGAGATATAAAGTGAGGTTGGTGGCTAAGGGGTATATTGTTAAGCCCAAGCCCCCACAGACTTATGTTAGGCGTAGGGCTAGGGGGGCAGATTAGTATTTTGGTATTTTATGGATTTAGGGCTTTAGTATAAACAGGGCATTAGCAAGTTAATTATGTTTATGCTGAGTTTTGTCAAGTTATTAGGAATAATTAGGAGTTTTGGAGAGATTGGCCTACCTGTCGAATTGTAGGTCAGGATTTGTCTTTCAGTTGATTTGATTAATAATAATAAGCCATAATTCAGTCTTGATTCCCAATTGATTCTTCTCTGAAACCCTATCAAATTGGTATCAGAGCTAAATCCTGGGACAATGGTAGCGAAGGTGGACGCGCTTGAAGAGAAATTAGAAACGGAGGTTGGATCGCTCAAGACCACAATTGACGAGCGATTTAACACCGTCCAACAACAGTTTTCGTCCATTGAGGCCATGTTGCTGAAATTAACGAAGCTCCACCTTAACCCACCACCGACAGCATCGACGAGCCATGGCGGCGCAACGGGAGAGGGGTCCGGCGGTATGGAACCCGTGGTCGGCAACGGCGCAAGGGGAGGGGGGCCGGAAACCGCTAGTTTTGCGCGACTTGGGGGGACTTTCCTCGGCGTTGGGTGTGGCGAGGGAGGCTTGGTCGCGGCTTGGGGCGGCAGATCAAGAGGGTTTCGCTGTTGGAGGAGGCGGCCTAGGGCTATGGGCGTCAGGGTCCGGCGTTTCGGCGCGCCAGGGCCGGGGGTGGCTGGGCACGGCGTCTCAGCGCTGTTTTAGGATGATTTCGGGCTTGGGCCGGGCGGATCCGAGCCTGGGCAGGGCAGATTCGGGCCTTGGCAGGGCGGATTTGGGGGCGTACGGCCGGGATGAGGGTTTTCCGGCGAGAGGGGAAGCGGGTATGACGGCATTGCGGTTGGGCAAGGGTTATCAGCTCAATTTGGGGCTGGGCAAGGAGGATTTTGGGCACGGTCTTCCGGATTTATGGAGATTGGAGGAGAATCGGGAGGTTGGAGGCCTCGAATGGCGCAAAATTGGGCAGGGCAAACCCAATTTGGGGCGGATTCTAGGGTAAGGAAGCTGAAAATGCCCATTTTCGAAGGCGATGATGCATATGGATGGGTGTATAGGGTAGAGCGCTCTTCACCATCAATCGACTCTCAGAGAGGGAAAAACTGATGGCGGTGGCTTTATGTTTGGAGGGAAAGGCCCTTGCGTGGTTTCAATGGCGAGAACAACGACAACCATTGAGGTCGTGGGGTGAATTCAAGGACCGGCTGTTGGAGAGGTTTCGAGCCACTCAAGAGGGAGATCTACACGAACAGTTTTTTGCCCTGACCTAGGATAGGACGGTCATGGAGTATAGGGAGAAATTTGAGTTGCTATCGAGTCATTTAGGGGGAATCTTAGAAGCGGAAGTTTGTCTACGGAAGTTTGTCTTGGTTTTCTTTGATGGCATCTTAGTCTACAACAGTTCTTTGGAGAATCATGTGAGCCATTTGGAGATAGTGTTGGCTGAGTTACAGAAACATCAATTGTTTGCCAATCAAAAGAAGTGTTTGTTTGCTCAGGCGAGGGTGGAGTATTTGGGGCATGTGGTGTCAGCTGAGGGGTTTCAGCAGACCAGTATAAGGTGGTGGCGATGCTGGAATCACCATTACCTAAGACGCTGAAGGAGTTGAGGGGATTTTTGGGGCTCACTGGGTACTATCGGAAGTTTGTGAAGGGCTATAGCACCATAGCGTGGCCCTTGACGGAGCAGTTGAAGAAGGACAACTTCCAATGGGGGGAAGCTGCGACTCAGGCTTTTGAGAAGCTAAAATGAGCCATGACCAGTGTGCCGGTGTTGGCTTTACCGGACTTTAGCCAACTTTTTATTGTGGAGACGGATGCTTTGGGGTACGGGCTAGGGGCAGTCCTCATGCAGAACCAACGACTAATCACTTATTTCAGCTAGGTGTTAACCGCACGGGCACGACTCAAGTTAGTTTATGAGCGCAAACTCATGGTGATTGTGTCAGCCGTACAGAAGTGGAGGCCATACTTATTGGGGCGATGCTTCATTATCCGAATGGATCAGCGGAGTCTCAAGTTTCTATTGGAGCAACGACTGGTGATTGAGGAACACCAGCATTGGCTGTCTAAGTTGTTGGGGTATGACTTTGAGATACAATATCGCCCGGGGTTGGAGAATAAGGCAACGGATGCCTTGTCGAGACGGGTGGAGCCGCAGTTGGTAGCGTTATTGGTGCCGTTGGTGATGGATTGGGAGGCGCTGCTGCGAGATATTGAGGCGGACGAGGGGTTGGAGAAGATCCGGACTGCGTTAGCGCGAGGGGAGACGGGATATCCGGGCTATATTGTTTGGAGGGGCAGCGATTGTTATACCAGGGGCGTCTTGTTTTGCTGAGAACATCGCCCCATATACCGAGGTTATTGCAGGAGTTTCATGAGAGTGCGGTTGGGGGTCACTCTGGGGTTCTTAAGACTTACCGGCGCTTGGCAGTTGAGTTGTATTGCGTGGGAATGAAGAAGGATGTAGAGGACATGGTAGCCAGGTGCGATGTGTGTCAGCGTCAAATACCAGGCAATGGTGCTAGGAGGGTTACTGCAACCTTTATTGCTATTAGATAAGGTTTGAGAGGAGGTGACGATGGATTTCATTGAGGGGTTGCCTCAGTCGTATGGGTTTACGGTGATTTTGGTGGTGGTTGATCGTTTGAGTAAGGATTCTCACTTCATACCCTTGCGACACTCTTATACCGCGGTGACAGTAGTGGCGGCCTATATGCAAGAGGTGGTGCGTTTACACGGGATTCTAGGGTCGATAGTGACGGACCGAGATAAGGTCTTGTTGAGCCATTTTTGGAGAGTTGTTTAAGATGCATGGGACGGTGTTGAAAAGGAACACGACTTATCATCCGCAGACTGACAGGCAGACTGAGGTAGTCAATCGCAGTGTGGAGACTTATCTGCGGTGTTTTGTGTCAGATACACACAAGCAGTGGGCAAAGTGGTTGGTGTGGGCTGAGTATTGGTATAATACCTCTTACCATACTACTTCACAGACCACTCCTTTTAAGATCTTATATGGACGGGACCCGCCGCATTTGATGCATTATGGGCATAGCACGACACCTGTGTCGCAGGTGGATCAGTACTTGGAAGAAAGGGATAGAATGTTGGAAGAGTTGAAGAGGCATTTGTCTAAGGCTCAGCAGATTATGAAGAAGTAGGCTGCTGGTCATAGGAGGGATGTACAGTTTGCGGTGGGGGACTGGGTATACTTGAAGCTTCGACCATATCGGCATAAGACAAGCTCTCTCCTCGGTATTTTGGGCCTTATGAGATTATAGAGAGGATTGGCGAGGTGCCTTATCGTTTGAGGTTGCCACCCTCTTTGGCAATTCATCATGTGTTTCATGTGTCTCGATTGAGACAGGCTATTGGAGACCATACACCCTCTCCTTTACTACCGCCTACGTTGACTGAAGATATGGAGGTTGTGTTGGAACCAGTTGCTTTAGAAGGCGTACGTCAAGGGCTGTCAAGACAATCGGGCGATAGAGGTGCTGATTAGATGGAAGGATTTGTCAGACTATGAAGCGATGTGTGAACCGTTTGACTTGATTCAGGAGCAGTTTCCTTTGTTCCACCTTGAGGACAGAGTGTCTCATTAGGAGGGAAGTAATGTTAAGCCCAAGCTCCTACAGACTTATGTTAGGTGTAGGGTTAGGAGGGCAGATTAGTCTTTTGGTATTTTATTGATTTAGGGCTTTAGTATAAAGAAGGCATTAGCAAGTTAATTATGTTTATGCTGAGTTTTGTTAAGTTATTAGGAATAATTAGATGTTTTGGAGAGATTGACCTACCTCTCGAATTGTAGGTTAGGATTTGTCTTTCAGTTGATTTTATTAATAATAATAAGCTATAATTCAGCTTTAATCCCAATTGATTCTTCTCCAAAACCTATCATATACACAGACTTATGGAGTAGATTATCAAAAAAATTTTGCTCCGGTTGCTAAAATGAATACAGTCAGAGTTTTGTTGTCCTTGGCAGCAAACTTCAGTTGGCCCTTGCAGCAATTTGACGTGAAAAATGCGTTCTTGCATGGAGATCTCAAGGAAGAGATATACATGGAGATTCCACCAGGGTTTAGAGGAGGAAATTTGGCGACCAAAAAGTTTGTAGATTGAGGAAAGCTCTGTATGGACTAAAACAATCCTCGAGAGCCTAGTTTGGTAGATTTTCCAAAGTGATGCTAGAAATGGGTGTTGGCAAATCAGATCAAATTAATTTGATCGGATTCTGCTGGATTAAATCAATCTAGAAGATTTTGAATTAATTTGAAATATTCTAATCTTATTGATTATCCAGTTGTTTAGGATTAGGATTTAGGATTAGGATTTAGTCAATAAAATCTGATTTGAATGTTACAGTAAATCAGCCACATTTAAGGGAGATTTTCTTTATTCTGTTATTTTTCTTTGCTACCTATTTAAGTGTATTTCCGCCACATTAATAAAATATTGCAGATTATTCCTTTCAAATCTGCTTTCATGGCATTAGAGCCACTCTCTGAACCCTAATCTCTCTGCCAACCGTAATGCCAAAATACGGAATGGCCGGCAGAAAAGAAACCTCATCGTCTGAGGTTACCTCTGCTTCATCACGGACTGTCAATCCGACTCCAACAACTGGATTTGAAGTTCCCTTTCAGCAAGTCACGAGTCATAAATTCAATGGACGAAATTTTGTCCAATGGTCATATTTTGTGTTGATGTTCATAGAAGGGAAAGGAAACGAAGACTACCTCACCGGAGATGCTGCACAACCGAATGAGAAGGATCCCAAATTTAAAACTTGGAAAACAGAAAATAGTATGGTTAGGTCATGGCTGATCAATTCCATGAATAACGAGATGGGAGAAAATTTCATGTATTATAAAACAACAAAGGAGATGTGGGATGCCGTGAAGCGGATTATTCCAACAAGGAGAACACTTCAAAAATCTTCAGACTCAAAGGTATTCTGAATGATCTACGTCAAGGAGAACTTAGCGTAACAGAATACTTCAACACTCTATCACAGTACTGGCAGTAATTGGATATTTTTTACGAAACAACATGGCACTGTGCTGAGGATCACAAGCAGTATAAGGAGATTCAAGAAAGAGACCGAGTTTACAAGTTTTTGCTTGGTCTTAATAAAAATCTAGATGATGTTCGTGGAAGGATCTTGAGTACAAAGCCTTTACCAGATGTTCGTGTAGTTTTTTCAGATGTAAAGCAGGAGGAGAACTGAAAGAGACTGATGTTAGGAAATCCTAATAATGATGCTGCAATCTCAAATTCCAATGATGCTGGAATTTCAACCACGATGCTTCTGCCTTAGCCACCCGAGGACCATAGTCCAACAGTGAGAACCAACAGAGAAGGAACCGGCCTTGGTGTGATCATTGCAAGCGAACTGGACACACCAGAGATACTTGCTGGAAAATCCACGGAAAACCAGCAAACTGGACTCCTCGAAAGCAGAACGAAGGAAGAGGCTTCCAAGTCTCTCAAGATAAACAAGGAATGGATGCTCCCACACAACAGCAGCATGCAGACTCTTCGATTGCACTGAATAAGGAGCAGCTAGAGCAACTTTACCGTCTTCTCACTCCAGCACCAGCACCATCTAAGCCAATTTCCAATGTAGGATTGTGCACCATGACCCACAATGGTAACCATTCAGCCTTGCTCTCTTCACTTCATACTCAGGAACCGTGGATCATTGATTCCGATGCTTCTAACCACATGACAGGTTGTTCTAAACATTTTTCCTCCTATACTCAGTGTTCTAGTATTGCTAAAATTAAGATTGCAGATGGATCCCCAGCTACTATTGCTGGAATAGGCTCAATACAAGTCTCAAAAACTCTTATTCTCCATTCTGTCCTACATTGTCCAGCCTTGAAATGCAATCTGTTGTCCATTAGTAAACTCACACGTGACAATAACTGTGTAGCTAATTTTCTTCCTTCCATATGTTAATTTCAGGACCTATCATCGGGGAAGACGATTGGCAGTGCTAGAGCCTATGAGGGGCTTCATTTCCTTGACAATTTAGAATCTAAGAGTCGGCAAGCACTTGTGTCAGGAGTGTCACCTGTTTCGGTTTCTACTGATAGAAATATAATGTTGTGGCATCATAGACTAGGCCACCCTAGTTTTTCATATTGAAGTTTTTGTTACCAACTCTATTTAGAAATAACGATTCTATTTTCTTTGCGTGTGATATTTGTCAACTTGCTAAACATACTCGTGTTCCTTTCTCACCAAAACCATATACGCTTTTTATGCCTTTCTCCTTAACTCACAATGATATATGGGGTCCATCTAGGGTAATGGCGTTGAATGGAAAATGATGGTTTATCACGTTTATTGATGACCATACACGAGTAACTTGGGTATAGTTGCTTAAGGAAAAATCTGAAACTTGCCAAATCTTTCAAACCTTCCATAAAATGGTTCAAACCCAATTTCGGAAAAAACTTTCAGTTTTAAGAACTGATAACGATGGTGAATATTTTCAGTCCACTTTGAGTAATTATCTTGTCCATCATGGAATCGTTCACCAAAGTTCGTGTACTAATACACCACAGCAAAATGGAGTCTCAAAAAGAAAGAATCGACATCTACTGGAGGTTGCCCGTACCCTTATGTTCACCATGAATGTACCCAAATATATGTGGGGTGATGCCATTTTAACCGCTGCCTTTCTCATCAATAGGTTACCCAGTCATCCCCTCAAATTTAAATCCCCATTATCTGTCCTCACAACTCAAGCTCCACACCTGAATATCCTCACCAATAACCTTCCTCTCAAAACCTTTTGATGCATTGCATTCGTCCATGTCCATTCCCAACACTGCTCCAAACGCGACCCTCAAGCCATAAAAACTATATTCCTTGGCTATTCTCCAACAAAAAAGGGATATCGATGTTTTTGCCCCCAAAAAAAAAAAAAAAAAAAAAAACCTTTGATACCCGAGATGTTACCTTCTTTGAAGAGATACCATATTATTCCCACACTTCGCTTCAAAGGGAGAGTAATGATAAAGAAGCTTATGTGTGAGAATGGGACACCACAGTTGAAGGGACTTCGGCCCCACAGTCAGCCACCATTGTCAAGATTCCAGCTCCAGCCCACACTGAAATAGAGCCTGAAGCTCCACAGCCATCTTCACAGCCACTACAGCCATCTTCCCAACCATTGCAGCCATCTTCCCAGCCACCTTCACAGCCAACCCTGCAGCCATCTTCATTGCCAACTCCACAACCACCTCCTTCAGTTTCAAATCAGCAAGAACTGCAAGTCTACTCTCGGAGGAAAAATTTTCAAGGAAATAAACAACTCACAGGCACTACGGGCTGCCCTGAATCCGAACCTATGGTGGGTTCTAGTCCTTCATCCTCAGGTAATCCCGAAACTCTTCATGGCTAGATGATCCCATTGCTCTAAGAAAAGGTGTTAGGTCATGTACAAAACACCCATCTCTAAATTTGTGTCATATGATACCCTGTCAACCTCGTTTCGAGCCTTCACAACAAATCTTTCTAGACTTGATATTCCCAGGACTATTGAGGAAGCTCCAGCTGTCCCAGAATGGAAGTCGGCTGTGCTAGAAGAAATGCGTGCACTTGAAAAAAATGAGACTTGGAGCCTTGTGGAACTACCACAAAACAAGAAAGTAGTGGGATGCAAGTGGGTGTTCATGATTAAAGTAAAACCAGATGGTTCAGTGGAGTGGTACAAAGCCCGAGTGGTGGCAAATGGCTTCACACAAACCTACGGGATAGACTACGCAGAAACGTTTGCTCCAGTTGCAAAGCTAAACACTGTTCGAGTTCTCTTGTCCCTAGCAGCAAATATGAATTGGCCTCTGTACCAACTTGATGTGAAGAATGCCTTCCTGAATGGAGAGTTAGAAGAAGAGATATATATGAGTCTTCCACCTGGTTTCTATGATGACAAACGGGACAATACGGTGTGCAAGTTGAAGAAGTCACTATACGGCCTAAAGCAGTCACCCGGGACTTGGTTTGAAAGATTTTCCAAAGTAATCAAAGGTCATGGATACTAACAAGGACAAACAGATCATACTCTCTTCGTCAAACACTCAACAAACAACAAGGTTACAGTTTTGATCGTGTATGTGGATGGCATAATATTGACTGGAGATGACTTTCAAGAGATGGAAGAAATTAAGAAGATTATGGCAAAGGAATTTGAGATCAAGGACCTGGGATTCATGAAATATTTCCTAGGAATGGAGGTTGCAAGGAGTAAAAAGGGAATCTCCATATCACAAAGGAAGTATACGATGGATTTATTGAAAGAGACAGGAATGCTCGGTTGTAAGCCCATAGACTCTCCGATTGAACCAAAAGGCAGGAAGGACTTGATTGATGGAAATACGGTAGATACAGGTAGATATCAAAGGCTTGTGGGAAGACTGATCTACCTCTCACATACTCGACCGGACATAGCATTTGCAGTTAGTGTGGTTAGCCAACACATGCACTCACTGTGCCAAAGAAATCTTGATATAGTTTATCTTATATTAAGATATCTCAAGAATCTAGGGAGATGACTGTTCTTTAAAAAAAAAACGAAGATAGAAAAGTAAAAATCTACACGGATGCAGATTGGGCAGGTTCCGAAAAAGATAGGAGGTCAACATCTGGATATTGCACTCAGTTTTGGGGAAATCTGGTGACTTGGTGTAGCAAAACATAGGGCGTAGTGCAAGGAACAGTGCCGAGGCTAAATATAGGGCTATAGCTCATGGCATTTGTGAGGCAATCTGGATAAAGCGACTATTGAAAGAATTGAGAATCAATTGTGAGTTCCCTATGCAGCTCTATTGCGACAACAAAGCTACAATCAGCATAGCACATTATCCAGTTCATCACGACAGAACTAAACACGTGGAGGTGGACATACATTTCATCATAGAGAAAATTGAGAGTGGAATAATCAGTGTGGGATATATTCCTACGAAGCAACAAGTGCCTGATATTCTCACAAAAAGATTGCACGAACCAGCATTTGAAGCATTAACAAGCAAGCTCGGACTCATAGACATCTGTTGGATTAAAACAATCTAGAAGATTTTGAATTAATTTAAAATATTCAAATCTTCCTTATTGATTATCCGGTTGTTTAGGATTAGAATTTAGTCAATAAAATCTGATGTGAATGTTACAGCAAATTAGCCACATTATTAGGGAGATTTTCTTTATTCTGTTATTTTTCTTTGCTACCTATTTAATTGTATTTCCGCCACATTAAAAAAATATTACAAATTATTCCTTTCAAATCTGCTTTCAAAGGGACAAGCCAAGTCAAGGAGATCATACACTATTTATTAAACATTCAAATTCAGGGGGAGTGACAGCTCTTCTAGTGTATATTGATGACATAATAGCGACGAGAAATGATGAAAAAGGAAGACAAGTCCTGAGACAACGCCTGGCAAAAGAGTTTGAAATAAAGGAGCTAGGAAGATTGACGTATCTTCTTGGGATCAAAGTAGCACACTCGAGGCAGGGAATTTTTATCTCTCAACAAAAGTATATTGTTGATCTGTTGAGAGAAACAAGAAAGTCAGCATGCAAGCCAATAAGCACTCCGATATATCCTAATCACAAACTTGGAAAAGTAGAGGGAGATATAGCGGTGGATAGAGAAATGTATCAGAGGTTGGTTGGGAGACTAATATATCTCTCGCACACAAGGCCAGATATTGCCTATGCTGTGAGAGTGGTGAGCCAATTCATGCATAATCCTAAAGAAGTCCATTTGCAGGCTATTCACAGAATACTACAGTATCTTAAAGGAGCACTAGGGAAAGGAATTTTGTTCAAAATAAACACTGGTCTAGTACTTGAAGCGTATACATATGCTGACTACGTCAGGTTAGTAGTGGATAAAAGGTCCCTGTTTGAGTATTGTACTTTTCTTGGTGGAAATTTAGTTACATGGAGGAGCAAGAAACAAAATGTGGTGGCCAGGTCAAGTGCTGAAGCAAAATTTAGAGCGATGGCACAAGGAGTATGTGAGCTATTATGGTTGAAGATTATTCTAGAAGACTTGAAGATTAAGTGGGAGAGTCCAATGAGACTTTACTGTGACAATAAGTCTGCAATCAACATTGCACACAATCCAATACAACATGACAGGACAAAGCATATTGAAGTGGATAGACATTTTATAAAAGAGAAGCTTGACAATGGTTTAATTTGCTCACCCTATGTCCCTAACAGTTCTCAACTTGCAAATGTACTTACTAAGGGATTGAGTAATCCAGTGTTTCAAGCAATTGTTACCAAGCTGGGAATGGACAATCCTATTCACCAGCTTGAGGGGGAGTGTTGGAAATATGTTTTAAAAGATGTACATTAGTTGTAAGATTGTATCCGTATAATTAGAATAGCCATTTTGAAAATCCCATATCAAGGGATGTGATATAGGACCTAATCCGATTTGTTACTTTTTATAGTCTACGTCTTTGTATATATTGAGATTGTATTGTACCAATTTTAATCAATGAAATTCATTCTCTGATTTCCCATATTTGAAGTGGTCCCAATTGGTTCCCACATTTTTGAAGGGAAGAGGCTAACTGAGTCACGTATTCGGTACTAGTTCTAAACAGGGAGACCCTAAGTTTGATGCTTGTGAAGAAGATTCGCTTGTGATGTCCTGGTTATGGAGCTCTATGCTGCCAGAAATCAGCGAGACATGTATGTGTCTAAGCACGACAAAGGAGATATGGGATGCCATCAAGCAGACGTACTCTAAAGTGAATGATGTTGCCCAAATATATGAAATCAAGACCAAAATATCAGCCACTAAATAGGGAAATCAGTCAATTATGGAGTATTATAATCTTTTGAAGGGTTTTTGGCAAGAGATGTACTATTAGCAATGTATTCAAATGAAGTGCAGTGATGATGCAGCCATCCTTAAGAGATTCGTTGAAAAAGGACACAAATTTATGATTTTCTGGCGTGGTTAAACGTGGAGTTTGATGCAGTAAGAGTACAAACACTTGGGAAGGAAGATTTGCCATCGTTAAATGAGACAATTGCAATTGTTCTTACTGAAGAGGGCATATATGATTGTAGCACACAGTGGAGAGTTCGGCTTCAGTGCCAAA